TCTATACCCCACAAGAGGCCTGCTGCGCTCGAAAGAGTACGGTCATGGCCAGAGACGAATTCCTCAGTCTAAATGGATGATATTATTTACCGCTTGAACAACAGCTCGTCAACTCCGTTTTCGCCACTTCTTGGTGTAGGATATTTGCGAGGAAAAAAGCCCAAAAGTTGCAGACTAGAAATCTGCAGAGCGCCTGCTTACAACGAATATGGTTTGCTCTTATTTAGGAATTCCTACTGAAGTGGCCAAAGTTAAAGAAATGGATCTAGCCCGAGCCATTTTGATTATGCTTGAGAATCACAAGGTTGCGTGCACATAAAGTTTTATTGAATTATCAAATAGCTTCCTTGCAGTTTGCTGTAGAAGGAGCTGGAGCACTAGCGCCAGCCGCCGTTATGACTGGCCAAATTGACGACATCCAAGGAAAGAAAGTAGTCTGCGTCATTAGCGGTGGTAATGTGGATAGCACAATGTTAGGACATAGCATTGATAAAGGTGTGCTAAAAAGAATTAGGGTAAGTTTGTAGAGTTTTGGATACTATTTAGGTCTGATCGCGGATGATCGTCTTGTACTGGTCGAAGTATTTCTGCCTGATCAACCGGGTAGTATCTGCGAACTTCTCGAGCGCATTTCGGGTACCGGTGCTAAAACCAAGCATATCTATATGGTATGTTCAATCAAGGCTTAGCGCGAGGTGGTGACTTTGATAATTTTTAAAAAACAAAGTCCCGACTTCGCAGCAAATACGACATTTCCATTGACACGCTCATGAATGAATCAAGCATAAAAAGAAGAAATGAACAATACAAAAACAACGTCAGAGACGGAAAATAAACTAGTGATGCTCCTATTCTCCGAATTGGCGGCATGCTGTGTCTGGTGCGAACACTGCACATTTGGAGCAGGATTGCTGCTGGCATTCAAAATGTTTGGAGGGCTGTAACTAGAGGAAGTTTGAGGAGGTTCAGAACCGGCCCTTAGGATTATCTAGATTGAAGTTGTGTAAATAGCGTGAGATCTGGAGAGAGGGAAA